AATTCACCTAGTCCTTTCTTCCCTTCTCTTATTGCCAGATCAGAGCAGCAATCCCTATTGTTACCCCCGCTTATGCCTGACCTTGTCCTGTTGAAGAAGATCCTGTTACTTGTCAGAACGTGAAAATATTTTACTTTTGATATTCCATTGTAGAGGTTGCCCAGGTTCCCAGCAGCAATTGTAAATCCTTGTACTCTTCTATTTCAGACAGTGTTTAGAAAGATGTACCCAGAATGAGGCCTTTTCTTCCTACTAACTCCCTGTCTTCCACAGCCTGCTTCAGGCTCCTCCTTAGTCCATTCCTCACCACTTTACAATTCTTCCACTAATCCCCAGATTCCTCCTTTTGATTATTCATTTCCTGTGTGGCACTGATGAATTGCTTTACTGAAGTTCAATTAGATTGGATTGCCTTTCACTGAAAAACTGGCTATCAAAAAGCAGGAGATCTGTTTAGTCTGGCACAATCTATGCTAGGTAAATCCATTTTCTATTTTATCCCATGTATCAGAATTCTCTCTTTTTTGTATCCATCAGATCCTTTTGTAAGATCCTGCATAGGCCATACCTTTTTTCCCCTATTTCCTTAGTGCAGGCACTGCACTTCAGCAGTAAAATCACTGCCCCTTAATTTGACAAGCATATTAAAAATGTTGTCCATCAGGCTTCCAGCTTCGTGAGCTAAATACCACCCCAGAAATGTCAAGCAGCTATTTGGGTTTGAGTCTCTATCTATCTCATCTCCTGCATAGCTGAAGTTTTTTTGATTTTTGCTGCTACCTCAAATGGAGCAAATTTCACCCTGCACCTTTATTCCACTACTAATTTTCATCACTATACATACTAGTCCTGATGAATACTCAGATAAGGTATTTATGCAATGTCTGAGATAGCTTTTCTTCTCACTACCCCCATAGAGTGGCCCTCTTTTTTCCTGTTCTCTATTTCAATTACAAGATTATACAGCCTTTGAGATTTGCTTCAGCTTCCTTTATAGGCTCTAATGCAACCTGACAAAGTGAGAATTGTGAAAAGTTCTCCTCTTCTCATAGTTTGCCTTCCTTGACATTTTGTGCATTTACACCCTCCAGCTCATTTTTTCTAGAACAAAGAAGGGGTCAGATTTTCTGGCAGCCACATTCTTTGCATCTCACTTGTGAACAAGAGCAAATGTGATAATTTGGCATGGATGAAGAAGTCAGGAAGCACAGCAAACAGAAACATGACTCAGGAAAACCGAGGCTAACCTATGCCAGAATACAGAGGCAGGTTACCACTTCTACTATTCTCTTACTACTGCAAAGTTTCTCTTAAGTGCACACTGAGGATCAGACACTGTGGTTACACTTGTAAGGGTTTTCACACAGAAATGTCCTGTTTCACTAGTGCTTCATTATTTTTTTTTTTTAATTTTAAGGGACTGGCAAAGTTGGCGTGTGGTTTGAAAACACCTTCCAGCTTTGTTTAGCTATGGAAGCAAAGTCTTCTAAACTCAATCCTTCGATCTGTTTGCCTGATCTCAAAACCTTCTGATTACCAAGATTCCTCCAAACATTTTCTGATGGGAAAACATACAGCCCACATGGTTCCAGTGCAAGCAAGAGGAGATTATAAACTAAAAATACAGTGGCTAGTTTACAGCTGAAAAAAAGTAAGTTTCTCACAGTTCAAAGCCTTGTAAAAGAAAATAATTGTATAAGCTGCAGTAAGGCCCACCCAGGCAGCAGCTTCTGACTTCCCTCTTCTGTAAAGGATGTTTTCCTCTACTTCTGTTTTGCTCCATCTCCTGCCACACAAGCTGCAGCACCCCAGCGTAATTGATGCTGTACAGGAGAATACTTAGGACAGGCCTGCTCTTTTCTTCCTCCTTGGAGGTACAATCTCCAAGCTTGTCTTGGTAAGCACGTTTTAATACAAAGACTCGGAGCTGCCCTTCATGCAGCCCTCCCTGCACTTGAACTCCTGGAGGCAGAACATAGGTAGCTAGAGGGAGCCCTGTTGAAGATTTACAACTCTTTTCAGCTTTTTGAGGATGGCGACATACTGTACAATCACAAAGACCTCCCAAAATCACAGAATCATTAGGGTTGGAAGGGACCTCTGGAGATCATCTAGTCCAGTCCTCCCACCAAGGCTTGGCCACCTAGAGCAGGTTACACAGGGATACATCTAGGTGGGTTTTGAATGTCTCCAGAGGGAGATTCCACAGCCTTCCTGGGCAGCCTGTTCCAGTGCTCTGCCACCCTCAAAGTAAAAAGTTCTTCTTCGTGTTGAGTTGAAACTTCTTGTCTCTTTGTTTATGGCCATTGCTCCTTGTCCTGTCACTGGATACCACTGTAAAAAGTCTGGCACCATCCTCCTGGCTTTGAGTTATTTATATGCATTACTGAGATCGCCCCTCAGTCTTCTCTTCTCTAGACTAAACAGGCTCAGCTCACGCAATCTCTCCTCACAAGAGATGCTCCAGACTCCTGATCATCCTTGTGGCCTCTACTGGACCCTCTCCATCAACTCCTTGTCTTTCTTGCACTGAAGAGCCCAGAATTGGACACGGTACTCCAGATGTGGCCTCTCCAGGGTCAAGTGGAGAATCACCTCCCTCAGCCTGCTGGCCACACTCCTCCCAGTACACCCCAGGATACAGAACCAGGACAAAATGTTGCAGGGCTCTAACAAAGAGATTTCATTGAAGTCTCCACTACAGCCCATTCATATCCTGCTCCGCTACCTCAGGGTAGAGCAGCCCACTGCAACCCAGACATCCAGGGCAGGGTAAGAGGGAACAGGCCACACTCACACCCTTCAAATTTTGAGCTGAACCTCCCTATGTTTAGCATCAAGACTCACTTTGCATACTTGGAATCCAACTTCCTTAAAGACCTGGACAGTCTTAAAAACCACATCTACTTTGTGAAGTATTATATAGAGCGATGTTCACAGATCAGACACATTCTTGCCAAAATGCCATTTATTGCAGTATACCTTTAAATGGCATACAGATAACCAAGTGTTGCATCTTCTGTTAGAACTCATATTTCATTTGTACCACTTAAATAACACAGAATGTCATGTTTGTTTCACAAACTGTCACTTTAGACTACCAAAATATACAGTTTTTTTCCTTTACCCCTAGCAAGGTTGTGAGGTACAACTAAAGTTTACCACTTTATCTTCCTGTGCTTTACAAGAACTTTTTCATAGATAAACTTATCAAACAACATTTCTACATTCCTATACAAAGCAAAGAATTACAGCTGAAATTAACACCATCTGGTCATCGCATTAACCTACAAAAATTCACTCAGTTAAAAAAAAAATAAAATAAAAAGACAGACATAATGGACTTTGCAGCTTTACTTAAAACCAGCCAGCTACACGTATGCACAAGTTTTCCTTGTGCATGAGGAAGAGTTTGGAATCAAGAAGTGTTTGGGTTTTTTTCTTTTGGGTTTGCACAGAAGGCACCAATTCTAGCTGCATAACAGCTCAGGAGTGTTTTATACTTCATTTAAATTACACAGGTTTTTAAGTTTTACTGTCAATGTGCAACATTTATACCAACTGTTGCAATAGTCTCCAATCATTCCCTCTGGCTCAACAGTACAAGTATTTACATCAGTTGTAAACACTCCTTCCCCCACCCCATACCTTCTGAGTGATGAGGAACTGAACTTGTAAGAAGCTAACCAAAGGCAGAGCTGAAGTAAGGCTTGTGCAGAACACCACACTTTTCTTCTGACTCGGTTTGAGATACTCTGGAGAACTCCAGACCCTCGGTGAGGCCTCAGTGCCTCACATCTGACAGCACACTGACCACCAACAGCTTCAAGCATCCAGGCTTTACTCAGGAGGTGTTTTTTGGCCCTTACTAGTCTGACATTCCTGGAGCTGCTTCTCTCCAAAGTGCAGGAACAGCTTCTGAAGAACCATTCCAGAGTCATGATAGTCAAACACGCCAACTGTTATGTATATTTAAAGCCATCTACGCTTAGCCTTCATCAGGCTTGTTTCAGATGTTTCAGCTTCTCTACTCCTTAACTGCAAAGTCATGATATGCTGCTACCTTCTACCCCTGTGTGCCAAGAGTATTCTGTGGCATAGATGGCAGACCATGTTCCAAGATGACTGCTATAAACGGTGCACAGAGAGGTAGGTGCTACAACACATCACAGTCACCTGGTGACTACACAATAGCGCAGGATAAGAGCATCTGCAGCATGACAGCCCAACCTAGATTTGGCACCTAAGAAGAGGGAATGTCTTGAGATGAGACTGCTTAGAGTAACCTATTTCTTATCTATGCCTAAAAAGAGCAAGAAGGTAGTGGGACAGTCCAAAACTGCTGGCAAAATGAACCCTCTGCTTAACTTGAGGGTCTTTGGGGTTTGTTTTGTGTTATGCACCAACTTCTTAGGAGCTGGTTCTGGGTACGGCATAATGCTTCCAAAACAGAAGTTATTTTAAACCACATGACAGTCATTTGCTTACCCTGCCCGTAACACCTCCTCTCACTAGAAATCATGTTCAGCTTGATGTTTCATAGGCATTAAGTGCTCCAAATACGGCAGTTAGAGCTAGAGGATTGCAGTGTACCAAATGTCTGCCCAGCACAGCCATTTGTTACGCTTAAAACACATCTATGAGTTAAATAGGAAGGATCCCTGCTATACAGAATTTGAGCACTGGTAACTATTTATTCTTGTCAGCCCTTTCCCCTAAGTATCAAGAGTTTTTTTACATACAGTGCTCCCTTATCTTCTCCCCACCGCCTGCCCCAGTAGTCTTTAGATAAACCAAAGTGAGTTTTTAGGAACTTGCAGTCCCACTTCTGTTAAAAAAAAACAAAAAAAAAACCAAAAAATAAAAAAAAAGTTGTGCAAGAAAGCGGGGAATGTTCAGTGAATCCATATCTACTTTGTAGTTATCAAATCCCAATGGCAAAGTCGTAAGGGCAAATAACCCAATGATCATATGGCTTAAGTTTAATGCAAAGCACACTAGGAGGTCCACGTGCAGGGAGAGAAGAGTCCAAGAAAGATGGAATAAGAAGTGTCCTGAAGAGCAGTTTATGCATAGAATTCTTCTTGTTTGTGTGGTTTTTGGTATCCTCCGTTAGACTGCTTTGGCTCATCCAGTGAATAGCTGCCTTCATCTTTTTTCTTCATTCTGTACAGCATAAATGCAACTAGAAACACTGCAAACACCAAGCCTACTAGTCCTCCAGCAATAACACCTGGAAGGGGGAGAAAGCCACAAATTACTCTAGACTCCAAATAATGCTAGTGTGACTGTAAGTTCTAGATTGTTCCTTACTATGTGGTCCCTGATTTCATGACTTCCAGAAATTAATTTGTCCTTTTGCCCCCTCCCAAATCATCATTCTGCCATTACCAAGAGCTTGCTCATCTACATGAGGTAAACCTAGAGAAACACATCTCCCACTAGGCCGTACTGCAAAGCACACTAGGCTACGTTGTTCAGCTCTAGTAATTTGACTGAGGCAGCATTAGAGCAGTTTTACTGTAGTTTTTGAGAGAGTGAAGTAGTAAGTTTAAACATAACTTAAATATAACTAGTAGTGGCAACTTTGCTATTAGCAGGTTAGTATTTGTCCCTGTTAGGGTTTTGACAACACAGAATTGTGAATCACCACCCTCATTTCAGAGGTCTAACATAAAAGGCTAGCTTTTATGCTCAGAGATGTACTTGCAGAACTGCAGCTTCTGCGGCCTGGAAGACTCCTACAAGAGTCTGCTTTTGCCAACTAGAAATCCAGAATATCAGGTACCTCCAAGAACTTCTTTTCTGTCCATAATTCCTGAGGCTCCTGCAGCTTTGGCATTCTTCCCAGAGTCAGCCAGTACTTCTGAGTTCTGGGTGGGGACCAAATCCTCGTCTTTAGTTAAGATGAAGTCTCCCTGTTGGGACAATACAAGGCAGGTTAATCACATTTCTCATCATGTCTGCTACTGGAGATTTTCCACAGCTTGGTTTTCTTCTCATCTAAACCCCTCCACCAATATAACCTATTAAATCAATCATCGCTTTTGACAAATTATCACCCTTTCCTGCAAAACCAACTTACTACATACTATTCAAACCATCTCCCTGGAAAGGCTGTCAGACCTATTAGTCCTCACCGGATCTCCAGAGCCATCCTCAGAAACCTCCTCATGCGTAGGAACAACATCCTTAGGAGCTGCCATTGTGGAGGTGGCAGCGATGTCTCCCTCATGATGGATGGTAGAAGGGTGTTCAGGCACGTATTTAGTGTCTGGCACATCAGAGCTGGGGATTTTAGGTTCGAGCCCATGGACCGTGCCTGAAGCTTCTGAAGGAGTTACATGAATCACTGAAGGAAAGTGAGTAGTGGGGCTTCTGACTGTTGTTGTAACAGCATCATTTGTTGGTTTCTCATCAGGTAAGCCCAGGATGGGTATTGTGTCCTTCACAACTGGCTCCTCTGTCACAACAGTACTAGTTGCAGAAGGAGATATTACTTCCTTCTCAGTTCGGCTCTCAGTCCCGGGAAGTGGCTGTTCATGGAAATCTATTGGTGTTGCCAGTAATGAGGAATTAGTCAGTTCTCCTGGGATTCTCCAGGTATGAGACTGGTCAGTCACAGGACCTGCAAAACAAAACAGTATTATCCTTGGCCACTTTAGAGACCTGTTAGTAGTATCTCCAGGATGCTGGTCTAATGAGGATGCCCAACCTGTATAGCCAATTTTTGGAACAACAGCAGTTCAGCTCATAATTTCTAATCCTTTTCAGTGGCATAAGGAAAGAACAGACCAATGTGCTATCCAGCAATACTTTTATTAGTCATCTGCTACTCCACAAGGCACAAGTGCTCGTCTGTTTGCAGACAGGTTGACAAGAGGGGTGTCTGCTTTCAGTATACTGGTTGCTCTGGATGATTACCTGACTCTTTACCCCATAAGTATTTGTTTCAGAGCCATACCCATATACTCAACACCTTTAGTCACTGGCACACCTGATTTCAGGGTTTTATTCCTTCACAATTTAAACTAAAACATGAGCATGTGGCTGGAAGGAAGCAAGATGCCATGCTTTAGTTTTCAACAGCTTGCTCATTCCTCAGTAGCATCTCCTCAACTTGAGCACTGAACACCAAAGGTCTCTCATGCAGTTTAGTAATCATTCCAGTAGACTTTTTCCTCACCCTAAACCCCTTTTATTCTGCTTTTAAAAAAGTATGGCCCATGGGAACTTGCACATCTGATGACAGATAAAATTTGCACTTGATGTACGTTGGCAGTTTGGGGTTTACACACCCTCAAATGGTATCTCATATGAGAGCACAAAGGCCCTTCTTACAATCTCTCTTCCCCATGAGTAAACAATCACTCCAGTTCCATAACATTCTTCAGTCAGTTTCTCATATTAGTAGTCATGTGGAGCGTACCTGCTTCTGCTCCCTTTCAAGTCTCCTACAACTCATTTTCTGCTAATTGTTAGTGTCTGAAGCAATACAAGATTAATAGATTAGGCCCTTTCTCGGTACCCAACTCTCATATTCTGGGGCAGGCAGGTGTGTGTGTATGTGTGTGATTCCTCCCTCCCCCCTTTTAGCATGGATGATCATCGAGATCTCAATTGCCACATTCAAGCACTAACAGTACAACTGCTATTAACTTACTTGCACCTGAACCTGAGAATGCATCATCGTCATCACCAGATGAATCAAGATCTTCAGGAGGAAGGTTCAGATTTGTAGTTTGCTTTAAAGAGAAGGGAAGAAAGTGTGTTAGTGATGAGAGTACTAAGTTATCATGTTGCTTGCCTAGTCTCCTCTAAGGGCTCCTGAAGGTTACTTCTCTTTGTTCAGATTGCATTTTCTTATCTTTCTTCATTCCATACCCCCAAAAGAGTAGTTCTATTATTAGTCTATTCAGTTGGAAGGGTCAGTCTTGCTGCTTCCAGGCTGCACTTGCTTTGGAAAGAAGAAAGCAAGGAATCTGTTCAAAGCCTCATCCTGGTAGCAGCCAATGGTCTGCCCTTGCACAACATAATCATACTGCTCCAGGTTCTGATTGGTCATGTCCTTGCTATCTACCAACCACTTCATCTGTGAACTACTGCATTACTTCTAAGGAACAGAAAGGAAGAGGAGACAAAGTAGTTTGGCTTCTCTGCCTTTTTGAGCCCTTTCAACACTGTTCACGTATCTGAAACTACAAGCATCTAAGTGGAAGTAGAAGGAGATCCCCTTTTTATAAGTGTGGGCAATCAGATTAAGTCCTGAAATAGCAGCTAGCCTTCCCTATAGGACAATAGAGCCCTCGGCTTTCTCCATGTATGCTTCAAGGAGTACATTAATCAGAACAGAAGTTCAGTTGCTGAAACAAGAGGCCAAAGGTCTGTTCTACTGCACCAGTTCATCGTAACACACAACATTCAAAGCTATTCAGGCTATCCAAAGACAACAACACTAAGTAAAGGAGAGTGATTACTTCATGCATCTTGTTGGCCTCTGCTGTTTGTGCTATCACTACAACATGTTTGACACCCAACTCATGACTAGCCCCAGGTTTATTTCTGTAGGGCTACTGTTACTCAACCATTCCCCCTTCTCAGATTTCAAACCAAAGCCCTGTATGTCACTTCACCTCAATTTCATCTTTCCCCATCCAACCACATTCCCTGTTTTCCAGAATTTTGACTTCTATCTCATCCTCAAGATGCTCTTCTCAGCACTGCCCTGAGATACTGCATCACATCATGCAACATGAGTACGAAATCTCATTTTATTATGTAAAAAGAACATACATTCTTGCCAGCTTTGCAACCACTGTATTTCTGTAGCTTGCATTAACACAGTGTCACTTAAAAATTAATATAACACTCATTTTAATTGTAGGAACTAGTATGATCTGTCAAACAAAGCATTTGAGCTCTCTCATTGTCTCTCATTAGGCTGCATTTATTGGCCCAATCTCTTTTTCATTCTTTTAAGATATCAGGTTTATCCAGTTTTCTCTTCCGTCCTCAATACCTTATTCATCCCCTGTATTTCTCAGAACAACTGGTTTCCAAGGTGGTTAACCAGTCCATGAGATTCAACCTCTCTGAAGACAAGTATGCAAACTGCCACTAACCTGATTAGGCCCAAGATCTTGCCCCTTCTTGATGATCATTGTAATTAATGGGGGTTTTTTGTTTGTTTGTTTTGTTGGTTTGTTGTTTGGTTTGTTTGGTTTTTTTTTTAAATAACAAGAAAGTAAGAACAAAAACCCCTCATATAGGCATTAAAGGTTTTAGCACTTTCCTTCTCTACTGGAAAAAACTCACACATACAAAAAAAAAAAAGAAAAAAAACCACCAAAAAACCCAAAACCACCAAAAACCCCAACAACAAGCCAAATAATTTTTCCTCAGGCTTCTGTAAGCATAATTCAAGAGTAATTTCTAAGACAAAATTGCCCTTCAATCTCTAGTTTAGCTGCATGACATAGGGTAATTTGGATTTTCAGATTTGTCCCTGCTTGTTTGCAGTATGTTTTTGCACTCATCCATGGAAAGTAGGTGAGATAAGTACTTCCCGCACATTTTCCTTCTCGTTTCCAATGTCAGTGACCCACAAAAGCTGATCTCACTACACTTCAAACATTAAAAAGTACGAACTGTTGGTGCATAAAGAATACGGAAAGACCTGCCAGGCCTCCCAAATTCTGCTCCCTTGACCATCCTTTCCAGCATGTTCCTTTCTGAAGTCAGGCTTCCAAAACTGCACCATTTTGGTCGATGGAGGGGGGTTGGGGACCATTTTTCTCTCTCCTTTCTCGCACTAGCAGTGGCAAGAACAATTCTTTGTTCTGGCACTCAGTTTGGTTTTGAGTGCAAGGGGAATGCATTGCAAAAAGGGGGGGTGCATCCTTCTCCCAGTAGGAAGGCTCTACCTTGAAGTAGTCAGAAAGCAATCTCTCCAGCTTTTCAATGGAGAAAGGCACTGCCAATACAGTTTAAGACATGGCACCATACACCTTTATCTAGGATCAAGACTAACTTCCCCCAAATCTGAATCTTCAGGAGTAGCTTGTACAGGATTTCCAAGAATACCTGGACAGATCTCATGGTCTGCAGACCTTAGCAACACTCCTGAAATTATCAGGCTGTCAGGAAATGAAAGAGCAACTATTGATCTTGACTAGTGAGCCAGCACCCCTTCGCCTTGTGGTGCTAATAGATGAGATTTGTTCAGTCATGCCACACTTCCTTTCTTGTTATCCAGTGTGTCCAGCCAGCCTACCCTTACATTTCCCTTCACACCTGAGCTTTTAGCCTCTTCCCAGGCTGCTGAATGTTCTGCTTCTCCATAGCCTTTGTCACATGCTGGTTTGAATCCTTGTTTCATTTCTGTGCCTTAGCTAGGTCCTCCTCAGAGGACGGAAGTGCAGTACAGCCCAGTCTAAACCAATGGAGAACCATGCTGCTCCAGTGTAGAGTTGCCCAGAAGCCACACATCAGGCACCCTTCAAACATGAAGGCAGACTCAGATCAGTTCCTGTCCAGTGAGATTGGCTGTTGTACTTCAAGGAAGTAACAGAAAATGTGATTCAGGATTAACAAAGTCTGCTTTCTACAGCTTTAAATGAGAACTTAGGGAATTTGCACTTAATGTGTCCTTCTGCTTAGTCGTCCCAAAGGGTCTTGTCCCAAGCTGCTCCACTGGGAGTTGCAGCATCTGCCTTTGACCAGACAGTGGGAGGCCTGGAATCTAAGCAGACTTTCTTGGCCCCAAATTCTCAAGGGACAGTATTGGATTATGCATATGCGGATACCAGTCAGAATATCCACAGTGATGTAACTTCATGACATCATCCAGTTTTATGACACATGAGCATTAAGGAATGTTTGCCTTATTTATGTAACTGCTCAGTTATACAAAGACTATACTTGCTCCACAGACTGCAGCATCAGTAAGCATGCAGCAACCTTTCCTTGTGGCACCACAAAATGCAAGTACTGCAGAAAGATCATGCTTCTATAATGATCTGCTGCTGAAGGGCTTCAGACACAGCAAGGTTAACATAAAACACTGACTCAGGATGGCATCAGAAGGGACTGAGCTAATTTGGGTTTGCATCAGGAAGATGGACCACGCTGTTCAGGCAACCAGCACCTCATGGTCAAGGCTTTTCCATGACCTTTTACTGCAGTGGAATTACACCAATGAGAAAGGTTTTGATTAGTCAAGAGGATTAGGGGCACAGAACACAGAGTCAGTCACCAGGTTCTGGTGTCATATGGAAGAGCTGAAAATAAATTCCAACTTAAAGCAAGATTACTTTACCAACAACTCTGCATTATTTTAGCTCAAAATTTTGTTCCCTGACTCTTCAACATAATCAGCTAATGTGGATGTGCTTTTAGAAATTACTTCCACCATCATCCAGTTTATTTTTCAGTCCACTGAGTCTATTTGTGGACCATTCACATTGTAATTGTTGCCAGAAAGGCTGGATAAACACATTTAAGTTCAGACGGTGGATCTTTTGAAGGATCTTTGATGGTCTCTCATGTATTCTAGTCAAAAAGCTTCCAATTCTTACCTACATATTGCTTTTTTACTGTATTTTTTATTCTGGTGAGGAGGGAGTTTTAGCAGCTCAGACAACTGATCATAACTACTTGCCCTAACCCTCTGGATTTGGTGTCACTGAATTCAGTTGCATGTTAGGGGTAACATTTTAACAGCATTTTTGATATGGATTAACTAGTTCCCATTAATCAGTGGAAGATCCTCTTCCCCAAGTATCAAAGCAGCCTGTTTAGGGAAAACCCTGGGGACACTGTTAGCCTCTCTCTTGCTGAGCACTGTATTGTTGCAGAACAATAGTTATTCAGTTCTGCTGAGACAACCAGAAAGCTGCTTAGTGGCATCTTCAATTTAATCAAAAACGGGCCAGGCTTTCACAGCTCATTAGATAGATTATTGGCTCCAGAAGTCTGACATACTCCAGACTTCTTTTTTTTTTTACTGGGTTTTCTGTTTTGTTTTGTTGTTTAACAGCATCACTTCTAACTATTCTTCAGTCTTCATCTTGGCCACAGTCTCCAAACATGAATCTTTCTTATCCCATCAGCTGCCACAGAGCTCCCTCCTGCTAGAGGAGGTTTCTGATGATGTGATGATGGGGATATTTGTATCTTATTAGTTAATCTCATCCTGTCCAAGCTGGGACCCGCATTTCTTTAATTTGGAGCTATGGCATATGTAAAAGGAAGCAGCTTTTTTCAAATTGCTCCTTGAGGTAAGCAAAAACATTGGCTTTGCCACAAGCTGCTACAAGCCCTAAACTAGATTAAGGATGATTTGTATCCCACTTTTACTAATCCTAGTTCGTGATCAGCCTACTACAGCAGCATCAAAAAACACTTGAAATCCTCCATTATCTGAATAATGCTGTTAAATTTGCACATTTCTCCTAATAAATCCTTCTTGTTCAGCTGAAAAAGAATGAGCTGTAATAAGCTCTCCCGCCTTAAACACCTCCCTAAACATCTTGCAAGATTCTTCCAACTTCATAGCATGCAAAACCTATGGTTTGCTCTTGTTTGAGAGATATAAAAGAACAAAACAAGCATTAGCTCTCTAGTCTGGCTACCAAATACAACATTGGAGCACCTATAAGCGACTTTAACAAGGATTTGAACAGCTCTAAAAAACTCAGACAGAAAGGTTTGCCTTTCAACTTTTTTTATGTATTGAAGAGCAGAGCTAGCCCCACTAACATAAATGCTGTCTCAGGCAGAGCAGCATAAAGAGCTTCTAACCTTAAAGTACTAATATTAGCATGTGGGAAGACAAAACCTGCTGAAAGAAATGTTATCTTTGTTAAACCTTGATATTCTGCAGTTAGCACATGCATGATTAACTCCATTCCCAGATGTCCATGGCCTGCAGACCAGCATCCTCACCCATCCTCCTTCTGCAGGCATATAGACTGCTAGCTTCAAGGTGACCATGCACAGCTTCAGTTTTAAGTCAGCCATAAATTCAGGAGTCACTGAAACAGAACTGAGGCTTTTATATGGAAA